CATTTTACAAGTATGGTCGTCTTGGGGCCGCACGCAGTTCTCACCGAACTGGCATACCCCCTGCATCAAAAGGCAAGAGCACAACTTACCGCAGGTGTCTGCATCTGCAGCATAAATGTTGCACGTGTCTCTGTATGTATAATGTATACAGAAACAGCTATGCAGTAACATGACTTCCCTCAAAGTATACGTATGCGCATCGCAATTCAAACCGACCCACCGGAGATTGAGTTATCATGTCATTGCGGTGTTCTGGCTATGCCGTTCCAACTACTCTACATGCACAAGCAGCAGCATTGCTGCTGTATGCATACAGATTCATCTTCATTCACGATTCCTATGCTGTTCTGGCGGTTCTCAAGTCTGCATTGTGTTTGTGTACGTTGTGGGGCTAGATGTAAACGACCATACAGCCAACAACAGGGGCATAAGATCTCAGGGTATTGTATGTTATTGTGGAACGATCACGGAGTCATGCAGTTTCGGAGCGAGCCTGCAAGTGGAACATGCAAAACTTGGTCTTCCGGAGCTGGCGGTGCAAACCCGGACCTGACGATGGCACGAGTTTGTGCCGTCAGATGGGTGCTCCGCGAAACCACGAATCAAACGAAATTACGGTACATGCATCTTCGGAAACCATGAGGCTGCGCAGTGCTTGATTTTACTGCTCAAAACTCAAGACATAGAACATTGCAACACGTGCAGGAAATAGCAAACTATCAAGGAGAACTGACCTTCACCCAGAAGCCTAGAAGAGACCCAGGCCAGGAATGTCTGACCGAGGTTGCCACCGTTGTGCGCCTTAGCTTTGGCGTCCTGGAAGTGCACATGCTTCAACCGACACCACCAGGGCAAGGCACGCAACAAAGTGGAAAATCCCCAACATTCGCCCAAAACCCAAGACCCCTCACACGGCCCTACACTCCCTTGAAGCCAGATGCAAAGCCACAGCACTGGCCACACACAGACACCAAAGGCCTGCATGTGCTCCTGTGCACCAGTTCGCCTGAGCGGCCTCAGCCCAGAATGTCGGCACTCCGCGCCTGCCTCCCTAAATTCAGTGTAAGAACATAGGTTCGTTCTAGTCGCTGGTTTCGTTGACCAGGTGAGACTTAAATTCCAGCTCCTGCAGGTATCAACTTAGGAGATTCTGAGAGCCACGCCGTGTGGCAGTGTGTCCACCACCATCGTCACCATCGTCCGCCATAACTGCACAAGCAGAGGTTTCGTACGGACAAGGCTTTTCAAGCACGTCTGAAGTAGTGCCACCGGCGGTTTGTTGCCGCAATCGGATCGAGGCAGAATGCCCATGTACTTAAGACTCGCGACGGACCAGGGCTTTGCACGAACATGCACAAAGCACAAGAGTTGCATCCCCTGCCACATCGAGTACGACCGGTATCTGCGACGAACGCTCTGGCGAGAAATGCATCTGCTTCACGTACAAAGTCCTAGGTGCGAGAACCACCAAATGCCTCCCAACAGGCTCTGGCAACCCCTCCCGAAGCAAACAACCCTCTGCTGCCCGTGGCAACTCGTCCCGCCTTCAGTTTCGTGGCGGGAATGAATCTCGCGTTTAGTCTCTGGAACAGCCGCACGGACTCGGGCTGTCTTGCGTGATGCTGTAAACTTGTGGATAACCAAAGGATAATACTAAAGTGCATGCCCGGCCCGTGCTGCATTCTAAGAGGAGGCCTAAGAAGAGGCTAGGCCTCCCCAGCAAAAAGTTCTTTCATACGAATGAGCCACATGTACGGGCAGCGATTCCGGTAGAAATGGCAGACCGAAAACATGCACATTGTCGCCAACGCCTGAAACAACATTACAGGATGGTTCCTACGGCTAAGGTCAACATACTGTTGATGATATAAATCCTGCATTATAAGGACCCTAACCTATGGGAATTATGGTATATTCCTTATTATGGATAATGCAGGATTCATATCATCAACCGTCTGAGCGGAGTCTCAGGCAAAGGCTTTGCTGAAGCCCGTTTCAGTCGGCTAGGGCAAGGATGTTCGTTTGTTGTGACCAATACCAGCAACGGCTTGAATGCAGTTCAGTGCAGTCTGAAATTGGCCCGAATCAACCAAAAGATTTAGCACAAGAACAAGAGCTCTCTGCTATGCCTGAGCTTGCAGGAAGCAATGCTGTGCCGCGCGACCAGCCGTTGGCCGCGCACAGCAGTTGGTTCAACATCAACAGAGGGTTCAGAGTTAAGAGCTTAGAATTTGTGGCCCCTAGTGTTGCCACACCTTGCCTTTGCTTACAAAACGGCTTTTCGAAACAATGATGCAGGAATCGAACACTCTCCCTGAGACCTTGTCCTGGCCAACAAGAGAGGCGGCAGTCGGGACCTCTTGCGTAGAGTTTTCCGGCCAGGTCATGAAGACAGAAGATAGGACTCAATCGGGTGATGCGGTTAGATGCTAAGGTAAACATCGGACCGAAACAACAGTATCTCAGTAGGAGATATGGCACTTGACACCTAGGTTCCAAAGCTAGGAGAGGTTCACGAACGAAACGATAATCTAAGCACTATGCACTCTTGAAGCATATGAGTTGGCAAGGCTAAAGATGACATTGAATTGCAGCTAGAGGACACGACTGACATGACGGTAGAGCTATCCGAAATTCGACATGTCAAAAACACTTAAGCATTGATCCGGTGATATGACATTATAACAACACAAGATGCCGTTTAGCTACATTGATCATGCAGCAATCCGCTGAGGCCAGAGGCCCAGGCGTTTTGGGGGTTACCTCCCCTACAGCCACAATGGTTGGACCCACCCGTTTTTTGCCTCCATTTTCCACCCC